AGCTGCGCTCTGACCGAGGAGGGGAGTTCCTCGGCAAGGAGTTTACCACCTTCGTGGACAGAAAGGGGATCGTTCACGACCTGACCTGCCCCGACACCCCGCAGCAAAACGGCATGGCGGAGCGGGAGATGCGGACGGTGGTGGAGTCGGTGCAGACGATGCTGCTGCACATGGGCGTGCAGCACCACTGGTGGCACCTCGCTCTGCGTCAGGCCGTCTGGGTCCGCAACTGCCTGGAGCGGTCGGCGACGCCGGGGACGACGCCGTACCAGCTGCTGACCGGGACGAAGCCCGACCTGTCGCTGGCGCGCGTGTGGGGCTGCATGGCGCAATTCCTCGTCCCCGAGCAGCAGCGTGGTGGGAAGCTGAAGCCGAAGGCCAAGTGGGGCCTCCACCTCGGCGTGTCGGAGGAGAGAAAGGGCTAGGAGCTCATCGACATCGCCGACAACCGGGTGGTCACCATGTCGGACGTGGTGTTCTACGAGACCATGTCGCTCGAGGTGTGGAAGTCGGAGCATGGGCCGGTGTCGGGGCGGACGCTGGTGGCCACGCCGACGGATACCTCGACGGCAACGCTCCCTCTGCTCGCCGAGGTCGGTGAGCTTGCTGTTGAGGACGCCGAGGTCTTCCACCCTTCCTCCCCTTCCCCTGCCCCTCCCCTCGTCGCCGACCTTCCTGGACTGACACCGGCGTCGGCCGCCTGTGATGAGGGGAGCAGTGGGGCGTCGCCTGTGGCGCCGACCAAGAGCATCGCCGGTGGCCGATGTGATGCCCAGCAAGTCGGCCTGAAAGTGAAGCGACAGCGGAGCAGGTCGAGGAGGTGCAGCCGACTTGGGTGAAGCCGACAGGGGAGCAGGCAGCAGCGCGGCCGACCCAGGAGCAGTCGGCAACCTGGCAGTCGGCAGGGGAGCTGACTGCAGGGGTGAAATCGGTCGGGACACCGACCGAGGTGCAGCAGGACGACGAGGACGGCGAGGCCGGTGACGATGGAGAGGAGCAGTCGGGCGCCGAGGAGTCCACCGACAGTGACGAGGTAGAAGGGTTGTCGATTGGTTCCAGGCCAACACTTGAGAGTCTGAGGTGCCCGTATTTCAGCCCTGAAATCTCCGGGAAGTGTCCTTTTCCGAGCCTTTAAGCGTCCGGGAAAGCACCCAACCAAAAACTTAAATTCAGGGCTACACTACAATAATTAGGGCAAACTCTATGTATCGAGAACTAAAAGGCAGAGTTAATTTAGAACTCCTATCTACCTATCTACTTTCTCAACACTAATAACTAAGTGGCAGGCTTATGGGGCTTCTCCCCGTCGAAGATCTGGTATACACCTGCCCAGTCCACGTCGTAATCTAGCATTTTCACGGTAGGATGGGTTAGGATGGGATGGGATGAGATGGAAAGGGAAAAACGGGAAGGGAGAGGGTTGAGGGGGGGGGGAGAAGATCTGCAGCCTCATCGGCATGGGAACCTGGGAGCTGGTCGAACGCCCACCGGGGGTCAACATCATGAAGAACCGGTGGGTGCTGACGACAAAGTACCACATCGACGACACCGTCGAGCGCGAGAAGGCTAGGCTGGTCGTGAAGGGCTTCACGCAGGTGTATGGCGCTGACTACGACGAGACGTACGCGCCGGTGAGCAGCTACGTCACACTGAGGATCTTTCTTAGCATCGTCGCCGTCCTCGACTTCAACCTGATGCAGCTCGACATGAAGAACGCCTTCCTGCAGAGCAAGCTCGACAGGGTGCTCTACATGTACCAGCCGGACTACTTCGACGATGGGACCGGCCGGGTGTGCAAGCTGCTGAAGAGCCTCTACGGGCTGAAGCAGTCGCCGCTGCTGTGGTACAAGGCCCTCAACGACGTGCTGGTCGGCGCTGGCTGGAAGAAGAGCCAGGTCGACGAGGCCCTCTACTTCAAGGTCGACTACATCAATGTGACCTGCTAGGTGCTGGTCTACGTCGACGACCTGCTCGCCGCCAGCAGCAGCCCCGCGATGCTGAAAGAGCTGAAGGAGCTGCTGGAGGCCACCTTCGAGCTGCGTGAGATCTCGCCGGTGCAGAAGTACCTCGGGCTGGAGATCATGCGCGACAGGTCGGCGAGGAAGCTGTGGCTGCACCAGTAGGGCTACGCCGACAAGCTGCGTAGGCGCTTCATCAACGAGGAGCAGGGTGGTCGGACCCCGAAGACGCCAGTCTCCATCGATGCCTACGCCGAGCTCACCTTCATTGACGAGGAGGCTCAGGAGGGCCAGGAGGAGGAGTACCGGCAGAAGGTCGGCTCACTGCAGTTCGCGGCAACAACGACGAGACCGGACATCGCCTTCGCCTGCAGCAAGCTGGGGAGCGGCCTCACAGTGAGGAGCGACCAGCACTGGCGCGAGGACGAACACTGCCTTGCCTACCTCGCCAACACGCGTGACACCGCCCTGGAGTTCGGCGGTGGACTTGAGTCGCCGAGCATATGGGTAAGTAACGCACTTACTCTAAGTACCAACCATAGAGTAAATTACGCACTTACTCTTTGTACCAACCATATGGGTAAGTAACGCACTTACTCTAAGTACCAACCATATGGGTAAGAAACGCACTTACTCTTAGTACCATCCATATGGATAAGTAACGCACTTACTCTTGGTACCAACCATATGGGTAAGTAACGCACTTACTTTTAGTACCAACCATATGGGTAAGTAACGCACTTACTCTAAGTACCAACCATATGGATGAAAAATGCACTTACTCCAACTACCAACCATATGGGTAAATTACGCACTTACTCTTGGTACCAACCATATGGGTGAGTAACGCACTTACTCCAAGCACCAACCATATGGGTAAATAACGCACTTACTTTTGGTACCAACCATATGGATAAAAAACACACTTACTCTAAGTACCAACCGTATAGGTAAATAACGTACTCATTCTATCTACTATCCATATGGTAAATAAAGCACTTACTTTAAGTGCCAACCATATGGGTAAATAATGCATATACTTTTGCTACCAACCATATGGGTAAGCTACGCACTTACTCTTCGTAACAACCATATGGGTAAGTAACGCACTTACTCAAACTACCAACCATACAGGTAAATTACGCATTTACTCTTGATACCAACCTATGGGGAAGTAACGCACTTACTCTAAGTACCAACCATATGGGTAAGTAACGCACTTACTCTAAGTACCAACCATATGGGTAAATAACGCACTTACTCTTGGTACCAACCATATGGGTGAGTTACACAGTTACTCTAAGTACCAATCAAATGGGTAAATAATGCACTTATGTTAAGTACCAACCATATGGATAAGAAAAGCATTTACTCTACAAACCAACCATATGGGTAAATTACGGACTTACTCTTGGTACCAACCATATGGGTAAGCACAAACTCTAAGTACCAACCATACGGGTAAATAACGCACTTTCTCTAGGTACCAACCTTATGAATAAACGCACTTACTGTAGCTACCAACCATATGGCTATGTAAAGCACTTACTCTAAGTACCAACCATATGGGTAAATAACGCACATACTTTTGCTACAAACCATATGGATAAGCTACACACACACTCTTCATACCAACCATATGGGTAACTAACGCACTTACTCTTAGTACCAACCATACGGGTAAATAACGTATTTACTCTAGCTACCAGCCATATGGGTAAGTAACGCACTTACTCTAAGTACCAACCATATGGGTAAATAATGCACTTACTCTTCGTACCAACCATATGGGTAAGTAACGCACTTACTCTAAGTACCAACCATATGGGTAAATAACACACTTACTCTAAATACCAACCATACGGGTAAATAAAGTACTTACTCTACCTACAATCCATATGGGTAAGCACTTACTCTAAGTACCAACCATATGGGTAAATAATGCATATACTTTTGCCACCAACCATATGGGTAAGCTATGCACATACTCTTCGTACCAACCATATGGGTAAGTAACGCACTTATTTTAAGTACCAACCATATAGGTAAATTACGCGCTTACTATTGGTACCAAAAATGTGGGGAAGTAACGCACTTATTCTAAGTACCAAACTTATGGGTAAGTAACACACTTACTCTTGGTACCAACCATATGGGTAAGTAACGCACTTACTCTAAGTACCAACCATATGGGTAAATAATGCACTTACTCTTGCTACAAAGCATATGGGTAAGTAACGCATATACTCTTGGTACCAACCATACGGATAAAAAACGCACTTACTCTAAGTACCAACCATACGGATAAAAAACGCACGTAATCTAAGTACCAACCGTACGGATAAAAAACGCACTTACTCTAAGTACCAACCATATGGGTAAATAACGTACTTACTGTACCTACCATCCATATGGGTAAGTAAAGCACTTACTCTTGGTACCAACCATATGGGTAAATAATGCACATACTTTTGCTACCAATCATAATAATAAGCTACGCACGTACTCTTCATACCAACCATATGGATCAGTAACGCACTTACTCTAACTACCAACCATACAGGTAAATTACGTAATTACTCTTGGTACTAAACATATGGGGAAGTAACGCATTTACTTTAAGTACCAACCATATGGTAAATTATGCACCTACTCTTGGTTCCAACCATATGGGTAAGTAACGCACTTACTCTTGTCAGAATCACTAGGCAAGAATGAATGAACTAGCAGAAGTTTGGGTACAAATATGAAACCCTAGTTGGGGTTGTACCCCATATTGGCTACCCCACTACAGCCTACAAGCATAATACAGTTTAACACACCCCCATAGGCAAAGTGGGGGAGAACAAAGGGTCACAAGACCAGTCCAGCAAAGCAAAGCAAAGCCCAGGGTGGATCACAACGTCACCACACTCCGAGCACAAGTAAAGGCCACAAGGCCAGTTCACATGCAGTACTAGATATAGTACAAGACAAGCAACACAGTGATCAAAACCTAGCAAGCAAGCAACAAGATATATATAAAGTACAGTACAAAGAATGTCAAGCAGTGAGCAAGTGAGGAAACGTGGACACAAGGCCTAAAGAAGTACAGTGCCGCTGATGATCACTAGGCGGGAGCGCCTTGGTGAAGATATCAGCAGTGTTGGCCTTCGAGTCCACGTACACAAGCCGAAGCTGACCGCGCTGCTGAAGCTCTCGAGCAAGAAAGTAGCGAAGAGCAATGTGCTTCGTCCTGTGCTCCAGTCTGTGCTCCTGACACAAGGCAAGAGCCGCCTTGTTGTCACCGTACAGAACTGGAGGAGAACTAGGCCGCTCTCCCAAGTCAGTCAGCAGGTAGGTGAGCCAGCGTAACTCCTGTGCAGCCATGGCTGTGGCGTAGATCTCAGCCTCACAACTAGAGCCGAGAACAGAGGAAGAGCGGGTGGACCGCCACGAGACAGAACCAGAGCCAAGGCTGAAGGTGTAACCCTGTGACGACCGCTGCGTAGCCAGGTCGTCCACCCAAGAGGCGTCCGAGTGACCAGTGAGGACAACTCTGTCGCGTCCTCCAAGCACCAGCCCCATGCCTGATGTACTGCACAGGTACCGCAGCACCCTCTTAGCAGCCTCCCAGTGCTCTCGCCTGTGTCTCCCAGGCGCAACGTAACGAGCAAGGATGCTAAGAGGGTACGCGAGGTCAGGTCGCGTGCAAGTCATCAGGTACATGAGGCAGCCTACAAGCTCTGGGTACGGGCCACTCGGCTCTACGGACTCGTCCGAAGGTGGAGCTGAGAGTGAGTGGCTGGTAGCCAGAGGTGTGGCCTGTGGTGAGGAGAACTGGAAGCCGAAGCGCTGAAGGACCTGCTGCACCATGTGTGACTGAGTCAGGGTGATGGTGCGACGGGCTCTGTCCCGGGTGATCTGCAAGCCAAGGTAGCTACGCAGTTCACCCAGGTCAGTGCAGGTGTGTCTCTTCTGCAGCTCCGACTTCACACGAGCGAGTGCCTCAGTGTCAGCAGTAGCAAAGACCAAGTCGTCGACGTACACTAGGATGTAGAACGGCGGCAGCGACGTGTCAGTGCGCAGAAACAGCGACGGGTCAGCAGTAGACGGCGCGAACCCAAGAGCCGCAAGAGTAGTCCTCAGTGTGTCGTGCCACTCACGTGGCGCCTGGCGGAGACCGTAGACTGGCCGGCGGAGACTCCACTGGGTACCAGGGGGAAACGACCCAGTAAAGCCAGGTGGGCGGCGCAGCCAGATCTCCTCGTGCAGGCTGCCCTGCAGGAACGCTGTGCTGAAGTCAAGAGAGTGAAGCTCGTAGTCACGCTGAGCAGCAACGTGCAGCAGAACCCGAAGAGTGGTCATCTTCGGGGTGGGGGAGAAGGTCTGGAAGAAGTCGACCCCCTGACGCTGACTGAAGCCTCTAGCAACGTAACGAGCCTTGAAGACAGGCGGAGAACCTGGCGGCCGCTTCACCCTGAAAATCCACATGCCATCGACGATGTTCGCCCCAGGAGGGGGAACCTCGTCGACGTAGGTGCCTGTGGACTTCCAGGATGCCATCTCTGCGTCCATGGCTGTCTGCCACTGAGAGGAGTAGGGACCCGAGATCGCCTCTGCGTAAGTGCGCGGAGTGGGGATGTCTAGTGCATCCGGGTCTCCCTCAGGGGCAAGCAACGAGGCCACGAGATGAGGTACAGCAGCCGCAAGAGAGTCAAAGTCCTCCTGCCTGTCCTCAAGGACGTCCGTGCCAAGAGCACACTCACCCCCGACGGACGGAGGACAGACAGACGCAGACTCTGACTCAGCGACAAGGCTAGCAGCGTAGTCTAGACGACAGGCAGCAGCAAAGTCAACCAACTCAGCGACCAGAGCAGACGCAGCCGAGGACTCAAAGGTGGGGTCAGTGACAACAGTAGCAAGGAGACGCGTGACTGTAGGGTGCTCAGCGCGATACCGGTCAGACTCAGGGTCCGGAACGGCAGGCAAAGAGGACGCAGGAGGAGACGGTAGAGGGACACGCCGAGGAGCAGTAGAGGGACGCAGAGTCATGTAGTGAGTGCCTGGGACAGGCGGAGGACGCTCACGACGGACACGACTACCAGTGCGAGCAGGACGAACAGGCGACGCAGGACGAGACTCAGGCTCACGACGCTCTGTAAGACCTCCTGTGGGACCAGTATAAGGAGAGGGAGCAGGGAGAGGCGAGGCAGGCGGTAACTGTGACTGCGGCTGGACAGGCGGAGGACACTCTACGGAGGGAGGAGGACAAGGAGGAGGAGCCTGCCCAAGAACCTGCTGAAGGAGCGGTACGAAGTACGGTCGCGGCCGCGCAGCGTCTCCAGAAGCAGACGGGACTCCAGCGGCCGGGTCCTCAGCACCAGTGGCAGCTCCACCGGTCGGGTCCCCAGCTCCAGCAGCAGCTCCACCGTCCGACTCCTCAGCACCAGCAGCAGCTCCACCAGGTGGGTCCGCAGCACCAGCAGCAGCGCCACCCCCAGAGTCGGCAGCTCCAACTCCGCTAGCACCGCCAGCGCCAGAGTCCCCAGCTCCAGCAGCTCCAGTCACAGTGCTCCCAGAACAGCCAGTCCCGGCAGCTCCAGTACCCCCAGTACGAGCACCCCCAGGACGAGCAGCTCCAGCACCCCAAACTCCAGCCGAGCCACTAGGACGGCGAAAGCGGCGGACGTACCAGTCGCGAAGCTGCTGCGGTGTGAGAGACTGCTCAGCACCCCGAACCGGAGCACCCCCAGACGCAGTAACCCGAGGCTCCGTAGGCTCAGTAGCAGCACCCCCAGGCTCAGTACCCGCAGGCTCAGTACCCGCAGGCTCAGCACCCCCAGTCGCAGCACCCCCAGGCGGCAAACTCTCAGGCACAGTACCCTCAGCTCCAGCACCCGCAGTCCCAGCACTCCCAGGCCCCGCACCCGCAGGCTCAGCACCCCCAGGCGCAGCACCCCCAGGCTCCATACTCTCAGGCACCGTACCCTCAGCTCCAGCACCCTCAGTCCCAGCACCTGCAGCCCCAGCACCCCCAGGCCCAGCACCCCCAGGCTCAGCACTCCCAGCAGCACCACCCGCAGCAGCACCTGAGTCACCTGTGACCTCGACAGGCTCAGCGACGGGAGGAGGGTCTACCTGAGAGACACCTGAAGGAGCAGGACCTTGAGGGGGGAGGGGGTCTACCGGAGGGGGACCAGGAGCAAGGAAAAGCGGCGGGGGAGGGAGGGGGGCAGTGCGGTAGGGGAAGAGACGGTAAAAAGGGACCGACTCGTCAAAGGTGACATCCTGAGAGGCGAAGACCCGGCGCGAGGTGGGGTGGTAAAACTGCCAGCCAGGCGCGTCAGGGACAAAGCCAAGGAAGACACAGGGAAGCGTGCGGGAGGAGAGCTTGTCCGCGGACGTATCGCGGACAAGGGCACGAGCACCCCACACCCGGAAGCGCGACGCATCGCCAACCTCCCCCGTCCAACGCAGTGTGGGCGAGGTCTCCGGCAAGGAGACACGGGGCCAGAGGTTGAGCTGATGCGCGGCGTACCGGACAGCAAACGGCCACAAAAAATGGGGAGCCGCCGCGTGGACCAAGGAGGTACGAGCGATCTCCATGACCAGGCCAATGCGGCGCTCAGCAACCCCATTCTGCTGTGGGGAGTCCGGAAGCGTGAAGGTCTGCTCGATGCCCTCTGCCTGACAGAAGGTCCTCAGGAGATCGGAGGAAAACTCACCACCTCTGTCAGAGTGCAGACGCAGGACAGGAAGATCCGTCCGGAAACGGCGGCGGAGCTGGAGACGAACCGTGCGGATCCAAGGGATCAGAACAGCAGGGACCTCACCCTTGGTGCGCAAGGGGAAGACCGTGGTGTAACGCGAGTAGTCGTCGACAACCAGCAGAAAGTACCGCTCACCGCCCTGACCACGAACGCGGGCTGGGCCCCACACGTCCAGGTGGAGGGTCTCCAGAGGAGCCTCTGTCGGGGGGAACGAGGAGGAGTGAGGAGCGGCGCGCTGCCGCCCCTCGACGCAAGGAAGGCAAGGCGGCGCAGGCGAGGCAGGGAGGGGAGGAAGGGACCTGGGAAGACCGGACACAAGGAGGCGACGGTGCATGCCACGAAGGCGTGGCAAGGAGGGGTGACCCAGGCGGTGGTGCCAGAGAAGAGTCTGGTGCGACAGGGAACGACACTCACAGGCGTGGGCCACCAGACCTGACGCAGACACCTGACCGACAGCAGCTACCTGGGGAGACGCAGTGGTCAGTGTGTAGAGACTCGACCCCGGCCGACGGGTGAACGTAGCCAGGTGACGGCCAGTCCTGGAGCACGTGCAGATCGCCACACGCTGTCCGCCAGGGGTAAAGGTGTCAACCCACTGATCCTGGAGGACAGCGTTGCTCACCAGGTTCGTCGAGAACGAGGGGAGGTGGAAACCCGACAACGAGCCAGACGGAACCGCCGGACAAGGGAGGACAGTGGTGGACTGGGCAAGGACTGGGCCCCCAGAGGGGTCAGCCAAGGAGACTGGGACCGGTGCAGGAAGCGGTGTGAGCTCAGTACTGTCACGAAAGAAGCAACGGGAAGCACCTGAGTCAAGGGTGAAGGTGTGACAGGCCTCAGCCGGTGCGGTACCTGAGAGAGCAGTCTGTGTGGGTGCTGTACCTGAGAGAGCAGACTCGAAACCAGCCGGGACAGCACTGGGGGGAGCAAGTACAGGGGGCACCATACCAGAGAGAGCAGACTCACTAGTACCCAGGGCAGCGGGCTCTATACCTGGGTCAGGCGGCACACACAAGTAACAGTCTCCCTCGGCACTAACAGTCAATGCATACATGGCAGCAATAATAGCATCATAGTCAAGAGCAAAGACATCAACACCAGCCCTCATGAGCTCAGCCCAGCGGGGGCGCTCAACATCCGCACCCATCTCCTCACGCCAAGCGTCGTCAAGGCGGGAGAAGCAGCGGTACGGGGTGTGGAACCTCCCACACGTCTGTCCCTTGCGGTCACCTGTGCGAATGACATAAGAACAGCGGGCACTGGCCCCCGACGTCCCACGCTGAGCAAGCCACTCACGAAGCTGCTGGGTCGTCTGGGGACGCTGCTGCTGCTGGGAGCTCTGGCCCGAGCCAGTGCCTCCACTCCGACCTCCGCCGCCACCACTACCACCGCTCCGACCGGCACCGCCACCACCGCCACCACCGCCACCGCCGCCACTGCCGCCGCCGCCACTACTGCCACTGCTTCCTCCGCCGCCCCCGTCTCCACCACCGACCCCACTCCCACCAGCGCTCCCGCCACCGCTCCCTCCAGCACCGCCTCCCCCCCCACCTCCCCCACCTCCTCCCCCCCCAGCGCCACCACCACCACCCTTGCCCCCCTTGCCCTTGCCGGTGCGGCGCCTCCCACCAGGAGCAGAAGCAGCGCCAACAGACTCAGCACCAAGGAAGTCAACAGCAGCAGCAGTAGCGTAGGAGGGAGCGAGGGGAGAGGGAGAACACCCCTCAAAGATGGGGGTGCGAGGAGCGCCACGAGCAGCACCGACAGCTACAATGCTCTTTTCGGCCGCGAGCAGGTGCTCCTCTAGGAGGGCGACTGTGAGCTCAGTGGGACAGCGAGCAAGGAAGTGGTCTCGAACTGAGCGGAGGGTGTCAGGGAGACGAGTGACTATAAAGTGGAGTGTCCAGTACAGTGGAGGGGGGTTCTTAGCGCAGAACTCGGTGGGAAGGGCGGCACGCAGGCGAGCATCACTAGTGCGAAGGTGGGTGATAAGATCGGCGACTGTAGTAAAGGTGGACAGATCGGGGAACAGGTACGGCAGCATGAGGCGGCTAAGCTCGGCTGTGGCAGGCGAGGAGTAGCGAGCGACGACAGCGTCGTACAGGGCCTTAGCTGATTTGCAGTCGCCAAAATGCTCTAGCTCAGCTAACGGCAGGTGACTGCGAATGGCTAGGCGAGCAGCTGCGTCACGAGTCTGCCAGTGGGAACGAACACTAAGCTCAGCTGTGGCAGGAGGGGCAGGCGCAGCACCAGACGCGTAGTCATAGAGCGACACATGCTCCTTGCTATCGCTCAGGAGGAACAGCTGCAGGTCATCTAGCCAAGCGGTGAACCGCACAGGGCGGCCCTCAGCATCGAACGACAGCACGCGGATGGAAGCCATAGCGACAGTGTGACAGAGTAACGCAAGCTGCCGCAGCAGGGGAAGGCGACTGTGCACGGATAGAGAGCAGCGGGCGAGGCTGGCGCTACGGGCAGGCGGCGCTGCAAGCGGTCAGCGCGACGGGAGGGCGACGCTGCGAGTGGGCAGCGCGGCGGACGGGCCGGGAAGCGGGCAGCGCGGCGGGCAGGCGGCGCTGCAAGCGGGCAGCACGGCGGGCGGGCGACGCTGCGAGGCGGGCGGGCCGCGAAGCGGGCAGCGGGCGGGCGGGCGGGCTGCGAAGCGGGCAGCGGGGCGAGCGGGCTGCGATGCGGGCGGGCCGCGAAGTGGGCAGCTAGCGGGCGGGCGGGCTGCGAAGTGGGCGGGCCGCGAAGCGGGCAGCGGGGCGAGCGGGCTGCGAGGCGGGCGGGCCGCGAAGCGGGCAGCGAGCGGGCGGGCGGGCTGCGAAGTGGGCGGGCCGCGAAGCGGGCAGCGAGCGAGCGGGCTGCGAAGCGGGCGGGCCGCGAAGCGGGCAGCGAGCGAGCGGGCCGCGAAGCGGGCAGCGAGCGGGCGGGCGGGCTGCGTAGTGAGCGGGCCGCGAAGCGGGCAGCGAGCGGGCGGGCGGGCTGCGAGCGGGCGGCTCGGCGAGGGGCGCGCGAGGGCGCTAGTGAGGGGCGCGCGAGGGCGCTAGTAAGGGGCGCGCGAGGGCGCTAACGAAGGGGCGCGCGAGGGCGCTAACGAAGGGGCGCGCGAGGGCGCTAACGAGGGTGCGCGCGAGGGCGCTAACGAGGGGCGCGCGAGGGCGCTAACGAGGCTAGGGCACGGGGTAGCGTGGTAACCGCATGCGAGCGGTGGTGGGCCCTTAAAAAAAAAAAACGGTCGGTAGGTCCTAGGGACCTCCTGCTCTGAATACCATGTCAGAA